AACCTCACTGTTCAGTGTGTAACTTGCAGACCAGGATCCCTAGAATCACCTGGGAACTTGTTAGAAATCAAGAATGTTGGACCCTAATACAGATCTAGTGGATCAGAAGCTGCAATTGAACAAGATTGCCGGATGATTCATATACACGTTACAGTCTGAGAAGCACTGGTATAGAACAGTGTTTCTTAAATTTTGCGACATATTATAATCACATGGGGGAGCTTTTAGAACTCTGATGTGCCCCTGCTGCACCCTGTGCCAGTTAAGTGAGACTATCTTGGTGTGAGACAAGACACCTGGTCTCTAAATTTACCATGTTAGCCATTTTTAAGTGTACAGTTCAGTGACATTGGGCACATCCACGTGGGCGTGCAACCATCCCCACCACCCATCTCCACACTGAAACTCTGTGTCCATTAAACACTAACTCCCTGCTCCTCCTCCCTGCATCAGCCTCTGACAACCAGCCTTCTGTTTTCTGTGTCTGTGAATGGGACTACCCTATGTACTGCATCTAAGTGGCATTACAGAGTCGATGTCCTTCTGTGAATGGCTTATTTCACTCAGCACAATGTCTTCATGGTTCATCCATGTCACAGTGTGTGTCAGAACAGTCTTCCTTTTTAAAGGTTATAGCATTCCATTCTAGGTATAGACCACATCTTGTTTACCGTTGAGCTGTCGAAGGACTCTTGGGTGGCTTCCACATTTTGGCTCTTGTGAATAATGATGCTTTGAACGTGGGTGTGCAAGAATCTGTTTGAGCCCCTTCTTTCACTTCTTTCCAGTATAAACCCAGAAGTGGGATTGCCAGATCACATGGAAGTTGTATTGGGAGGGTTTGTTTGTTGGTTTTTTAGGAACTCTTGCACAGTGAATTTCCACAATAGCTATGCCATTTTACATTCCTGCCAGTAGTGCTCAAGGGTCTTAGTTCTCCACATCTTCACTAATGACTGCCATTTTCTGGTGTTTTTTGTTTTGTTTTGTTTTGTTTTACTATCTCCATTCTAATGGATATGAGTGGTATCTTATTGTAGTTTCGATTTGCATTTCCCTAATGATTACTCTTGTTGAGCATCTTTTTACATATTTATTGGCCATTTGCATATACCTTCTTTGGAGAAATGTCTATTCAAGTCCCTTGCCCATTTTTAATTGGGTTGGTTTTTTGTTGTTGATTTGTAGGAACTCTTTATATATTCTAGATATTAATCCCTTATCAGATAAACAATTTGCAAATATTTTCTGTCATTCTGTGGGTTGCCTTTTCACTCAGTCTGCAGTGTTCTTTGATGTACAAAAGCTTTAAATTTTGAGATAATCCTTTTTATCTATGTTTTCTTTTGTTGTGTGCTTTTGGTGTCATATCCAAGAAATCATTGTCAGACAACAGTATTTAAAAAAAGAAAACAAAACTCCCCAAGTGATTCCAGTGTATAGCTCCAGCTGAGCAGTGTTTCTCAAACTTTAACGTGCATTCACATCACCTGAAGTCTTATTAAAATGCATATTCTTATTTATTAGGTCTAGGGTGGGGCCCAAGATCCTGCTTGTTAACAAACTCTTAGCTGGTATTGAGGCTCCAGGTCTGGGAACCAGTCTAAGTAGTCAAGGTACAGAGAGCCCTTCCATGATTTCTTTCACATGAGCCCTGAGAGTACAAGGTGGATATTTTCCAAATCTTTTCTTGAGTTTCTTTACCATAACTGTTCCCCGATCTGCCACAAAGACAGGCTCACAGCTTCCCCTCTAACTCACGCTGGTTCAGAACAGCCCAGGTGGGTGCACGGAGTGCCGTTGACAAAGCAGAAGAATAACATGTGAAGTGCATGTTCTCCCTGCACCCCTCGCCCCTGCCCCACTGGGGGTGCCATCTACTGATCTGCCCATGTGGAGTGATTTCAGATTCCACAATGGTGACGGCTGATTCCTCTCTGGCCGTGGCCTCTGTGGGGGAACTACTGCAGAACCCTGCCGAAAAGCTGTTTTGTTCAAAATAGGTTTAATGTGCTCGGAGAGGAAAATCACACAGGTTGGTCTGAAGTTTATAGAAGGCACTGAGGAGAAAAACTGCTGAAGGTGTGCTTCTTAAAAAAAAAAAAAAAAAAAAATCCTTTAATTCATTGTAGAATTTTAGAGCTGGAAAGGACCCTTAAAGTCTGTCCCAAACTCTCATTTTAGAGAAGCTGGGACCCACCAAGGCTGTGACTTGTTCAAGGTCACCAAGCTGAATGGAGGTCAGCCCATAAGTTTATTATTTCTTTTTAATCTTGCTTTAGGTTATTTTTCTGGAAATGGTTAACAGAGAGTAGCTACCTCTTTCATATGGCTCCCCTAATTAAAAGTTCATCTTTGCAGGGAGCCTGGGTGGTTCAGTCTGTTATACATCTGCCTTCAGCTCAGATCATGGTCCTGGGGTCCTGGGAGTGAGCCCTGTGTTGGGCTCCTTGCCCAGAAGGGAGTCTGCTTCTCTCTTTCCCCCTCCCCCTCTCCCCATACTCATGCTCATGCTCTCTCTGTCTCCTTCTTTCAAATAAATAAATAAATAATCTTTTTTTTTTTTAATTTTAAGTTCACCTTTTTACAGAAAAGGTAAAAATCAACAGGCTGCATCATGGTTCTTGCCCCTCATGACCTTCATTAGAAAATTTCTACCAGATGTTTACTTTTATAAGTTATGAATCTCTTGTAAAGAAAATCGAGGCTTCCTGATTAAGTGGGAATTCTAAGAAAAAATAGTTATTATACAGTATTTTTCAGTAGTGATGTACTTCTGAAACCTATTCCAGAATTCTGATATTACCTAAACAGAAGGTTGCCCGTATTACCCCAATGGGACCTCCCTCCCTGGTGTCAGTGACCCAGATCACAAGTATGATGCCTGGGAGGGACTAAGTAGCTTCTAGAAGTTACACCCTATGCCACTTTCCTTTTCTCTGTCCATTGCAAACCTTGTAATCTGATCGCAGTACTCTTTCAATCCACTGCCAATCAATTGGATCTGGCTCTCATTTGCTGTCCTTACAATAGAGGTAGAAATACCTTGAAAAGACCAGTGACCTTCAGATCCACCCTACATTTCAGCATGTCTCTGCCAGTTATTAAATACTCTTTAGCTTCTTCATTTGACCACCAGCTGCTCATTAATCCAATTATAAGTTTCCTTTATCCAACCAAACTTCCTGCCGAGTTGCTTAACTCTCAGAGTGATGTGTTTGCCTTTGGTGATTAGACAGCCCAGAAGATACGGTCTTGTTCAGACATCTCAGTAATTTAAGCTTGACCTCACTCTACTAGTGCAACACCCAACATGTGCCTCATGAACACGGTGCAAAAGCCTCCTTCCCAGGAAGGCTCACCGAGGTTGGTTTCTGTCCTGCAATAGGCACCCTGCCCCTGGGTCTCACACCAGCTTCAGCAGCAAGGCATTAGGGAGGCTTCTGACTCATGTCCTACTGTGAAGGCAGCGCCTGGGCCCTCCATTTGGATTTCTGGGTCCTGAACGGAGGCAAGCTCCCTTTTTGGCAGGAGCGTCTGTCTCCATATGGAGAGTCAGTCTTTGCATCTTCTGTTCATTAAGACATCAGCCTCACTCAGCCTTGCTCTCGGCTGCCAGACGCACTGGCATGCCAGCGGGAAGAGTTCCATCAGGAAGGGGTCTGCTGCCTTCTGAAGGCAGGAAGGCACCACTTTGCCTGCAGGACTGGACCTGCACAGCAGTGTTTGTGGGACTTGTTCCAGCAGGGCCTTTAGAATACTCTGGAGTTCGGCCTCCAGGCCTGCAGTTAGAGTCTCTGGGTGGGCCATCTGTAGCTCCCACAGGGGCAGGGCGGGGTCCTTCCACCTCCTTGGCCATTCTCATCAGTCTCCTGGGTTCCGGCCACCAGCTCCCATGGCCCCAGGCTGCTCGGCAACGCCCTGAGTTATGTTAGAGATATAATAATGAATTATACAACGGATTATACATAATTAATTTATAATAAAACACGCACAGAATGGTTTAATTTCTCCAAGTGAATGATGGGCCACTGCCAGATCCTGCTGGAATACATTCCCTAACTGCCTGCTTCCTGATCTGGAGATGATGGCCAGCCACCCTGGGGAGGGACCCTGGCCAGAGGAACCTGCCAGTTCCCAGATTCCCTCCAGGCTACCTCTGGGATGTGTCCCGTAGAAGGAAAATCCTTCACTGACTCTATTGTTCTAGACCGGGATACCCATGGGAGTCTCACTCCCACCAGGGACTGAGGCTGGGTATCTCCTTCACTCTCCCAATCTTTCTTTTGGAGTATGGGAGATGCCAATGCGTTTATATTCAACCCTTCCTTCCTTCCTTCCTTCCTTCCTTCCTTCCTTCCTTCCTTCCTTCCTTCCTTCTTTCCTTCCTTCCCTCAACAACTGTGTGATGAGTGCCTATTCTGTACCAGACTCTGTCCTTAGCTTGGTGTGCCTGAGGAAGCAAAACCCACCGATCCTTGCCCTGGTGGAGCTTACATTCTAGCAGAGGGAACAAACAACAGGAAGCATAATGAATAAGTAGATTTACAGTGATAGAGAACGAAGAAGCCCAGCAGGGTAAGGGTGATCTGGTGGGATGCAGGCAGACTGTAGTTTTTGTTTTGTTCTGTTTTGTTTTTACTTGACAGACAGAGATCACAAGTAGGCAGAGAGGTATGCAGAGAGAGAGAGAGGGTGGGGGAGAAGCAGGGTCCCAGATGAGCAGAGACCCAGATGCAGGACTCGATCCCAGGACCCTGGGATCATGACCTGAGCCGAAGGCAGAGGCTTTAACCCACTGAGTCACCCAGGTGCCCCGGCAGGCTGTGGTTTTAAACACACTGGTCAGGGCAGGTGTTACGGAAAAGTGGCAGCCTCAGTAATGGCCAAGCTCTCCAGGAATGAGGGCTGGGAGGGTGGGGAGAGGGGGTACTCGTGCGCCTACTCCAGGCTGCTTGGTTAGGAGGTCTTTCAGTAACATTTGTAACTTCTGGTTGCAGGTGTTCAGGATGTTACTGTTCCTGCTGCTGCTGTGGTTTCTGCCCCCAACCGAGGGGTCTCAGCGTGCTGAACCCATGTTCACTGCAGTCACCAGCACGGTCCTGCCCCCTGACTATGACAGCAACCCCACCCAGCTCAACTATGGTGTGGCAGTCACCGATGTGGACCATGATGGAGATTTTGAGATCGTTGTGGCAGGGTAAGTGACTCCCACCCTGATTCTGACAAATCTATTAGTCAGCTTTTGCTGTGATAAGGCTGAGTAAAAAATACCAAAAGCCAATGGTTTGCAACAATTCGTTGTCTCATTCCTAGGTCTGGGCTGGGCTCCTCTCATTCCTAAGTCTGGGCTGGGATCCGCTGGGCCTCTGGAAGGCCATGTCCTTGCCTTTTGCTACAGCAGTGAGGTGATGGAGGCTGGATGGTTTTTCAGGGAGGGAATTTGAACACTCTGCTTCAAGACATGCACTTTGTGTTTTTAAGTCTCCTTGTTATACAAGTAACACTACCTTAGCAGTGGGATTGTAGAAGCTCTACATAGGAAGGGCTTAAAGGTGACGATTATGCTAGAAGTCCTGCTCAAAGTGGCCTTTGCACAGCATTTCCCGTAAGACTCAGAAGACAATAATCATTCCTTTCAAAGAAGGGCGAAAGATGGGAATTCACGACAGCTAAACTTCTTCTAAAGCACACCTTTGTGTCCACTGCTCCCTTCTTTCCCGAGAAGCAACACCGTGTAGTAAGAAAAGCATAGGATTCGGAGTCCAGATAGCTTGAGTTCATGCCGTAGATCTAGAGCTTTCTAGTCGCTTGACCTTGAATCAGTCCCTTCCTCGATGAGATTCCGATAGATCATCTGTAGAATCAGGAAAGGTGTTGCATGCGCCAGTGTGCTGTCAGTTCTGCCAGAAACCGTCGATAAGTGTTATTTCTGGAGCCCTCGTTGCCAGGCACCGTGCTGAGCCTTTCCCCGGCCCTGTCTTCCTTAAGCCTCCTGACAATACTGTGAAGTACATACATGAGAAAAGGAAATCGGGTGGGAAGCGATCAGCCCTCATCAATTAAAGGGGACATGGGTGGGTCAGGATTTGAACCCCAGGGTTCCCTACTAGAGCTACTGAACTGCGGTTGTGCCAAGTTTTGTTATCACTTCAAAAATCATTCGATCCAGAAAATCACGAGGGCCTGTCCTCTTCATTCTGGGAGGCTGAGCTTGTATGGCGGTGTGAAACAAAGTCACTGTTAGGTGGCATCGCATGTAGCAGTTGCATGAAACAGTGGAAAGCACTGACCTTGGAACTGGAAGACCTGGTGTTAATCCTAACCATACCCCCCAACAATTGTGAACCTTGTGCGAGTTCCTTAGCTATGTGGTGCCTACTTGTCTCACCTGTAAAATGGGCATATTGAAGTTCACCCCCACCCACCACATCGGACGGGGTAAGGATCGGCTGTGATGATGCGTAGGAAAGATACTTTGTTAAGCACGCTTCTTCTTCCATTTATTCATTTCTTCTATCCTGTGAAGAGTAGAAGGTACACGATTCTAGACCTTCTAGAAATCCGAATGAGTGCCCTGTCCAGTGGAACCTTCTGCGATGATGTAGATGTTCTCTGTCAGGGCTGTCCCGTATGGTGTCCACTAGCCACAGGGGGCAGATGAGCACTTGAAATGTGGCTACTCTGACTGAGAAACTGAATTTTTTTTTTTTTTTCATTTAAATTCAATAGCCATATTGAAATTAGCACAGTTCTGGGTCTGAAGGAAAAACTAAAGAAAAGAGTGTGATAGAAAAAGGAACATCAGAAGGTGTTGTGATGACCCTTACTGCCCGAGGTGACTGGAGCAGCTTGTCCGTGCTCAGTGACAGTCTGGTGTCTCTCTGACCAAGAAGCAGCCCATCTCATCAAATGCTGCCTCCCAGAGCTCTGAGCCTCTGCTTCCAGGACTTTGAGGCTGTCTGAAAGGTCCTAGCTGGTCCTGCCTCCTGTTAGGTGGCACCAGCCTCCCTCAGTAGCCCCTGGGAACTGACAGAGGACAGAGGATAGTGGGGCAACCATCCTTCCCTCACCCTGAGCCCTCTACAGCTCAGTGCGGTTACCACACTGGCCCTTCACCTTGGACATGGGCTTCAGGTGCAGCTCTCCATCACACCCATCCTTGGACACGCACAGTTGCCGCTGCATCTCCCGAGTATGCAGTTTCTTTCTTTCCAAGCGCTCAGCATTCATTACATCTTCCTTTTCCATGAAGTCCCTCCCTCTGTCTCTTCCAAGGAGCTCAAGAAGTTTACTTCTGTGTCTTCAGTGGTAGGGAGTCTAGACCATCCTTTGCAGTCACCTCACAGAGATAAATCCAGGCTAGCTCGCTGCCAACCACGGGACCTGAGGCACTTTGTGGTCCTCATCCTGCGTCAGCCAGAGAGCAGGGAAAGAGCCTTCTCTCATCTCCCAGAGAAGGGTTGAGCCAGGCAGACCCTGTCTGGGAAAGTTTGGGGTGCCGAGTGTTCTTCGGCAAGATGATATTGCCGGCTCCCAGCAGAGGAGAAGGCTTGCGTGGAGGACAGGATGGTGAAATTGGGCAGCCTCCCAGCTCCAGGTCATGCCTTCTGTGTGGCTGTTGTGAAGCATTGTGAATTCTCAGAGCGTCAGAAAGACACGTTCTAATTTAAGTACCAAAATACGTTCCAAAGGCAAATATAACTTTCTATTATCTTGAGCTTAGGATGATTTGTCACTGTCTTCTTCTTTGGGCTGGATAACCAAGGGTTGACTGTATAGACATATTTAAATCAGGACCTTGGGAGGTCATTTGGTCCACCCCTTGCCTTCCAATAAGGCCACACCTATAGCTCTTAGAAGGTTCATTTATTGAAAGCCTTCCAAGAGAATGTATGCAATCTTTTTGTAATCTAGCTCAATTACTTATGTCAAGAATCTGTCTGACAAACTGAATCCCTCATATTAGAGTTTAATAAGCCATTTCTTTTAACTTTCGCTTTGCCATTGCATTTGAAGGTATAAACCTAGTGGTCGCCATTCTTTTAAATAATGACAGCTAGGATCACTGCTCTGCATTGTATTCTCTGTGGACTTGGCCACGTTTCTGGCTTTGACTCTTGTTCTATGTCATCTACTCTATACCCATATTTTAACTCCACTTCCATCTCTGTTTGATTGTAGACTCTGTTTAAGAATCATGCTGGGGGGGTTGAAATTTGTAAAAATTGAATGTGAATCCCTTTCCCCGGGGCACCTGCGGTCCAGCTTATGGCAGGCCCACTCTGTATTATCTTATAGACTTTCCCATTAGCTGGTTCCTGAGGGCATTTACCTTTGCGACCTGTGGGATAATGACCAGCTCTTCAGTGTATAAGGCGCTGCATACTTGAACTTGTCTTAGATGTGTTGACCTTGTAGTGTGTCTGACTTGAGCCCTGTTGCTTTGAGTATTTACTCTTTGAATAGGTTTGTTTTGTTTTGCTTTTTTGGTATCCTCGTTCTGGGTATTGATGGCATTGATTTTGAGCATGTTGCGGGTGAGTTTGTGTTGTGTTTCAGTTTCTTGAGTTAATTGTGATGGAAGGCGTGTGCGTGCATCTGACTCTGGGAGGAGCAGAAAATGACCGCCCTTTGTTCTGCCGGGATGGGGGAGGGAATGGGTTGGCTGTGCTCCTCCGCCACAGCTGGGCGAGTGCCTCCGCATATGGAGGGCTGATCTGTTGACCGGCAGGTGCACGATTGTGGTCCTGCATGCAGTCTCCTCCCTGCAGGGGTCGAGGGGAGGATTTGATCATCCCCAGAGACATCTGTGCACGCACAGACCATGGAGGGTCTTCAGGACTGGTTCTCTGGGTAAATTAAAAGCTCAGTAGCTTCCCCTTTTCTCGGTGGAACTGAACACCCAATCCACGGTCTCCCGTAGTCTAGAAAGGAATTCCTGTTGGTGTCAATCTTGCACAATTCCTTCAGAGCAGCTTTTATTTCCTGGGATATCCCCAGAGGCCTGAGATAACCACCCCCCGACACACACTTTCAGTTTCCAACAGAAGTTTTGCTCAAATGGAAAGACTGTAGTGGTTGTAAAGTTTAAATCACAATTTAGATCAGTTTTTCTGCACAGAGCGTTCATTTGATAAAACCTTAACACATTCTTCACACTTGGAAGGGTTTTATTTAAAGGGATGCTCATACCGTAAAGCAGTGTTTCATGTTGTCCTTAATTTTGCAACTATGTCAGAAAACTTTTTTAATTTACTAAAGTTAATTGAATTATTTAAAAGGCAAACTGTATTCAATTACCAGATTAATCATAATCATATAGGAGATATGTTTGCCCTTATAAGTAATAAGAACAATGATAAAGAATGAGATATTTATTTATGGTTTAACCAAAGCAGGATTTATGCATTTTATTGTAAGTATATATAGATACATATAGTGTATATAGGTAGATAATAGTTAGGTAGATGTAGCATCCATGTAAATATATGTAGGTTTATGTAGTCTATATAAGTCTATATGTACATATACATACGCACTTTTTAACAAAATAGGAAAAATAGTTTGGAACTTCCTGTGCTAATTGTTGCTTTGTAAAACATTTTAATAGATTTGATCATCAGTTTTGACAACTTTAAAATGTTAGATTAGTTCATTCAGTTCCATTTACCTTTCTCTTTTAATTTAAAATAGATCTCACAATGTGATAACACTCATGTGTTTTATCACCAAAAAATCCACACAATATAGATGAAAGTAAAAAATCCATCTTTATCAACCCCCCAGTCCTCCTTCAAGCACATTCCAGTCCTCTCCCAGAATAACAGTTGTTTTCAGTTTGGTGTTTATAGTTCTAGAACTTTCTGTGTTACATGCAAATATATAATTTTTGGAAGAATCAAACTGATACATATTATTCCAAAACTCACTTTTTTCACCGTATAGTATGTTTATTGTTCATATATATATATATATATATATATATATATATATATATATATAGATCTAGCCTTTTTTTTTAATTGTTTAGTGTGGATGTACCACATTTGTTTTGTCACCCCTCGAGTGACATTTAAGCTGTCCCTCATCTGTGACCATGGCAAACAATGCTGAACCGCGCACCTCCTTACCCACATATGCAAATATTTTTCTGGGATAGACACCAAGCCGTGGAGATGTTGGGAATGCCGTGTACAT